CCAGCCTGAGCTCTCCCGCCCGCTCGCCAGCACGGTTTTCCTGGTTGCCGATGTCCGTGTCGCGGGGCGAGCCATGCCTCGAGGATTCCTGAGCGGCCGTGTCAGGTATCTTTGCTGTCAGAGTGACTTTTTCCGTGAAGCTTTTTAAAATGCTGGTTCTGTCCGAGTCGATTTGGAGGCTGCGTTTTGCTCGGGGAGAGGATGGGCACATGCTGGCGGCCTGCGCCCGGCCCTGCCTCCGGGAGGGCGAGCGCCCGAGGGCAGGCGGTGCAGCCACCCTGCAAGCCGGAGGTGGGAGCGGAGGAGTGCCGGCTCCCAGGGCGGTGGGAGCAGCTCTGGGGAGGCTGAGGCATGGGACGACCCAGCCGTTGCCAGGGAATGTGCTTGGAGGACTCCAAATCCCCTCTTGATGTGGCACAGCCTAAACCGGTAGCTCAAAGGTATGGCGTGGCCTGCTCGCCTTGAGGGGCTGCTTCGGCCTCTTTCTTTCTCCAAAATGCCTGGATTTTCACATCATTTAAAAATGCCGATGTGAACATCACCGTGGTGGCCCTGTGGCTGCAGAGGTCAGCGCTGAGCCCACGCAGCCTCAGGGCTCTGCTCAGCCGATGTGCCCGGACAGATCCATCTGAAGCTTCCAGAGCAGCTTTTTGCTGCTTTTTCCGCAGCTGGAACTTGCACGGCCCCATGTGTGGAAAAGCTTTTTTGACCTAGGTGGATAAATGAGAATTTTTTCCAGCTTTTAAAGCATGGCGCAAGCCAGGCGCGTCCTCTCTGGACACGCTGTTTTCCAGAGCGTGTCCCAGCACGTCCTCTCCCAGCAGGACCAGTGGGTGCGTGGGAGGGAGAGGCAAAGCCTGACCTTCCTCTGGTGACTGTGGGCCGGAGGGCAGTCAGCGGATGCCCAGCCCCACATTTGGGGATGGGAGGTGGGTGCTCTTTGCTGACCACCCCCCACAGTCCACTAGGGATCTGGCCTCCAGCTTGGCCTCTGGTCTCCGAGTTGTGCTGGCCTATTATCCTTGGGCTGCAGAAGAATTTTATTCCCCTTTAAATCTTGAGAAGGAAATACAATCTATTCACTGAGCAGCCAGAGAACAAGTGTGTGCGAGTGGTACAAGGACCCTGGAATTAAAGCAACGAGGAGGACAAAGGAAAAACCAGGTGCTGCTTTAAAGCACATCCGAGTGCAGGACTGTTGGGTTTACAGCCCAAATCCCATTGCTCTTATTTCAGGGCAGACGGGCAAGCTGATGTATGTGATGCACAACTCCGAATATCCCCTCAGCTGCTTTGCTCTCTTTGAAAATGGTCCCTGCCTCATAGCAGATGCCAACTTTGATATCCTTATGGTGAAGTTGAAAGGCTTCTTCCAGAATGCCAAGGCGAACAAGATAGAGAGCCGGGGCACCCGCTACCAGTACTGTGACTTCTTGGTGAAGGTGGGCACGGTTACAATGGGGCCCAGTGCACGTGGGATATCTGTGGAGGTAAGAATCGTTTTTGAATGGTGTGAAATACAACTACAGAGAGGGAAATCCCATGTTGGAGGCTAGATGAGAAATCCCCCGTCTCTTCTGTGTCTCGATTGTATTGCTCGTTGCTGGGAGTTTGGTAGTTTGTACTAGATATGTTCATGAATGCAGCAGGCAGGGTATTTATCCCCTTTTCACAACAAGGTTTAATTCAGGCAGGTACTTTGGGGCTCAGCTGCAGCTATGGAAAAGCCTGTCATTGAAGCGTCAATAAACAAAACCCTGAAGGGATGCCATCAAACTAAAAAGCTGCTTAAAGTCCTGACGCACAACACTAGCAGCGCGCTTCAGGTTAATAAGCATACCAAGGGGGACAGAACAGCTTCTTCAGCTGCTAATTCGATGCTGAGTTGGGTTTTGCTTTCTTTCCCCATCTCAAGCAGACAGTGTCAGGGCTGAGGCAGCCCAGGGAGAGCAGGGCCCTCCTGCCTCACGTTCTGCTCACATGGTGTAGAGATGGTCTTGTCCTCACCAGGGAGCTTTTGGCCGGCATCAGTCCTACCCCGTGGCGTGCCGACCTGGATTGCCGCACCGTGGGGTGCACCGCGGGCTTGAAGCCTGCCATCAAACTGCTTCCGCGCTCTCCGCTCGGTGCCGTGACTGCTGATGAGGCTCAAGAGCATCGGTTGCCAGCTGCCGACGGGCATTTCACAGGGTGGAAGCTGGGCTGAAGCAAACTCTAAAGGGAGATCCTTCAGCGTACACGAAGGGGCATGGGAGGATCTAGGAAGGCATTTGGGGAGACAGTTGGCTGAGTGCAAGCGTGAGTCAAAGGCTCACAAGCCACAGGCAAGCCTCAGCCGGGCTGAAAAACATCTCGGAAAAAGACAAAGAGCTGGGCTACGCTGGTATGGGAAGGGCAAAGCAGAGTAGGTCAGACTCCAGACATCTAGATATATTGGTGCCTAACAGTCTTCAAGATAGCTGAGAATTAGGTGCTTAAAAGTCCTTCAAAATCCAAGTTTATGCTTTTCTAAACAGACAAATCCTATTATCTGATACACAACTAATAGTCACGCTGCGTCTACTCGGGCAGGTGTTCCTAGCCAGCAGGGACCGAGGATTGAGAAACAGCTTGTTTCTTCACTGCAGTAAACACAGGTGTTGTAGCGTCAGCGTTGCTACTGACCTGGGGTTAAACAGAAGCTTGTTTTACCCTAAACTTGAGTTCAGGACCAGATTTGCCAGGTGGTCTGGCTGCTTCTGTTTTAGTTTAGTAGGGGTTTTTTTTAGGGTTTGCATTAGGACCTACTCCTGATTTGGGACCAGACTCATATTTAGTAAAACGCTTCAAGTTCTTAAGTCCCAAGGCTTTTTCCAGTATGCTCATGAAAGACATCTCGGCCACACGAGTCATCGACCTACCAGCATGTGGGAATGAAGTTTGGTTTTGGGTGGGGTAAAGTCAATGTGACGTTTGAACCAAAGTCCCAAGATCTCCACTGTTGGGGATTTACTAAAAGCAATGCCCTTACAGGGTACGTTTTACCTCCCCTTCCCTTTTGAAGGGATTGCTTGCATGTTCCCAGCATGTCCTGTTGATTTCTATTTGTCCATCCTCGTTATACGCTAAATATTCTCAGACATTTTTATAAAAAGCATTCTCTCTCTAGTGAGGCAGAGAGAGGAAACTCTCTACAACTACCTGAAAGGAGGTTGTAGCGAGGTGGGTGGTGGTCTCTTCTCCCAAGTAGATAACAATAGGACGAGAGGAAATGGGCGCAAGTTGCGTCAGGGGAGGTCTAGATTGGATATTAGGAAAAATATCCACAGAGAGGTGGTGGAGTCCCCATTCCTGGAAGCGTTCAAAAAACGGGCAGACGTGGCACTTTGGGATATGGTTTAGTGGGCATGGTGGGGTTGGGTTGATGGTTGGACTGATGATCTTAGAGGTCCTTTCCAACCTTAATGATTCCTAGTTTTTACTTTCATTATAAATGATCCAGCCACCAAGCCAGGAGGCATGGGGTTGCTACTCTACCCTTAATTGGTTTAGTGGTGGACTTGGTAGTGTTAGGTTAATGGTTGGACTGGATGATCTTAAAGGTCTTTTTCAACCTAAATGATTCTGTGATTCTATGAAAGCGGGTTGCCTCCTGCATGGTTATTGCCCCTGCCACGAGCTTCAGGGCTGTGGTTTCTGTTGCCAGGTGGAGTACTGCCCCTGCGTGATAGCCAACGACTGCTGGAACCTGCTCATGGAGTTCATGCAGAGCTTCATGGGGAACCACACTCCCGGTATCCCGTCCGTGTTTGGCACCAAGCACGACAGCATCTACAGCCCAGCGGACACGATGGTTCAGTACATGGAGCTGTTCAACAAGATCCGCAAGCAGCAGCAGGTGCCTGTAGCGGGGATCAGATGAAAGGACTCCCTGGAGCCCCATTTAGAGCGACTGCGTCCTTGTTTCTGCCTCCCCATCTGGATCAGGAGTCCCTCCAAAAAGCGGCACTGGAGGCAGCCCAAGGTTTTTTATTTTTTTCTCAATCTCTTCCCCCCGTTTCAAAGCAAAGTTCTTGAATGTTGTGTGTATTTCTTATTGTCCTCCTTCATGTTTTTGAGCGTGTCTGGGATCAGGCCTGTGGTTCTGATGATTCTTAGTACAGTGCTTCGTGCAGGGGATTACTGTTCGTCAGCAGAAGGAGGGAAAAGGAGAAATTCCAGCCAAATGCGTGCAAGGGCAGAGTTTCCTTGACTGCAAACAGCTACATGAGAGATTTCTTTTTTTTTTTTTTTTGACATCCACGTGAAAGTGTCTTGTTATTTTTCATCGAAATAAAAAGCTGTATTTTGTGAGGAGATGCAGTCTTTCTGCACAGCAAGTGTTGTGCTGTTTTGTATTGTTTATTTACAGCTTTTGAAATTTTCTGTTGCATGGAGACAATTCTTCAGCAGAGTTTTATCTTTGATTTGGTTCAAGTGCTTTATACCCCTGAAGCAAACTAATTTCCCTGTGGCAAAATCTACAGGAATTTTTGCATTCCTATTATGGGTATGTTCTTAGCTTGCCTTCATCTTTTCTATCTGATGGGAGTATTAAAATCTCCTACCTCTCAGATGATACCGATGAAGCCTCATGATAAATAAATAAATAAGCCTGGTAGGAGCCCTCTCATGCATTGAAAGAGGATACCAACCACTTTATCTCATTGTTTGAGAGGTAGGTAATAAACGTCCTATCCCTGCACACCATTTCTCATTTGAGAAATCCTGGTGACTTCAGTAGATTTAATGCAGTAAGGAAGGATTCGGAGAATAAGAGCCAAAAATTTATTATAAGACTTAACTATATGATATCGCTTGAGTACTTCTCTTTTTTTTTTGTGGTGATTTATTTTTACAGCAAGTAAACCAGAGAAATTAGATCCCTTTTGAGCTATCTGTCCCCTTGGTTTTACATGTTCAGTAGCTGTCTGGCTCGTAGCTGTCATTTTTTTCTTCTCCTCCCTGCTCGGTCTTAGAATAAGCAGAAACAGCCTCATTGAGCCACCAACCTTTGCGCTGAGCTTCCTTTATGGTTCCTGGGAAGGCTGTGTGTAGCAGGGTTCCACCTCTGCAGCCCATGTCCTGGACGTAAAGGGCAGGTGTAGAGAAGGTCTAAAGGATGGGTTTAGGAAGGGAGATTTGCAAGGCCAGTGGGTTCCTCGTGAAGATGCAGTGTGCCTCTTGCTCTCAGAAAATATTGTTGGTTCCTGGCTAGTATGTGGGTCTTCAAGAGTCTGAAGAGCAAGTAAAACAGAAATAGATTTTTCCTAAATAGATTTTTTC